TATCTCGCTAATAACCTCGCAGATTGGTAGACTCCATACACAGTAATGCTGCACCTGCTACTAAAATGGAAACTAAAAAGCACAACAAAGTTCTGAGAAAATAAAGAATCAAACGAGGAACATAATCTAATTTTTCCAGCCATTGGCAAGGAAACAGTGGTTTGACCAGCCTCCGCTAAAAGAACCTCATCCTTATCCTTGCAAACACCTGTTACTAGCGATGCTGCCCGGACAACACCGCCACTTCCAAGTTTTTTGGAGTTTCTTCATCCACATCCATACTTGCATGTGCCCCCACTCCGCTATCTGTCTCTATGACCCTACGCTTTCTTGGTGCGTCCTGGTTTGTAGTGATCTCCTTACCTTTTGACATGAGTCCTTCCACCATATAGCTTTCTTGGTGCTTCGTCACACTATCAGAAACTACCTTGTCATCCCTTCTATCTCCTGGCTTGTTGTTGCTAGGAATAAGCCACATGTTACCTGGATGCGATCCTCCCCGCCTCGTATCAGCCCGTAACCATGTACCATAAGGTTTCTCCTTGAGCCCTACACCACTATGCGGATTAGAAGGACATAAACGATCCATGTGACAAGGAATCCCACACAGAAAGCAAAAGTTCAGGAGTCTTTCATACTGAAAGTTCACCCAAATCCAACTGTCCCCCTCCTGTCTCACCTGTAGGCGCCTAGTCAAAGCCATAATAATATTAATAGTGACTCTAATGCGCAGGACCAATCTTTGCTTTCCACCAAGAGAGCTCTCATCTGCCTGCACAAACGCTCCAATACTGTTAGCTATTCCACGAGCTGCTCTGACCGTCATGTAGCTTAACGGTAGGTTGTGGACCTGGATCCAGAAGTCCGCATGATCCAATGGAACCTCTAGAGGTCTGTCAGTACGCCCCAATTGTTTAATTACCACAAGATTCTGCTCAAATGACCAAGGCCCCTCATCAACAATTCTGTTCAGATCTCCTTCGTGATTGAACTGTAATAGGAATTTAGAATCCCCAATTTCATCAATTGAAACTCCCTCGACCGGTCGCCAAACCATAGCCATAGTTTGGCAAAAGGAGACAGCACGAACAGGTTTATCCAAAACCACTCGAGCAACAACCGCTAGCTTGAATCCCTCTGTAGACGCATCCGCGTTCTCTGTCGGGTCAGCCACGAGCACCAAACCCCTGTTCTCCTCTTCAGCAATTAAAATCATACTTTCATTCTTCGAGATCAGATCCATCACAGCTCAATCCAAGACCACAAATTCAAACAAACGCAGGACACCAAACCTTTGCACAATAAAATCAACTAAAAACACTCCATTCAACACGAAGAGGAAGAAGACACCATCCGTACGTTCAGAGCAGAAAAGCTATGCCCACCTCAGCCAAATTGAGCTGGACAACAATGACGCAGGACAAACAGCCCGGAGAAGGAAACCAAAAACGGACAATCACAAGAAAAAAAGGAAAAACTAAGTCTGCGCCGGAATAAAAGAGCACCAGAAAAACCTTGATGATGTGGTCTCCGCCGTCAATCTAGGTCCACAATTGTTTGAAGCTATCCCCTTCAAGAGCCGACGGCGCTACTTGCTAGGGTTTTCATCGCTTCAGTCCTTAACCGTGTCATACACCCACTCTATATTTTCTTCTTTGTATTAAATGAAGTGGATTATGAAAGGGTTTTGAAAGAGAAAATTATTATAAAAAGAAAAACTCTAGAAATATGTTTAAAATTTGTAAGTCGTTTTACAATTATCTTTACTTGTCATTTAAAAAAATATTATTTTGTTGATATGTTTCCTTAGTATTAAAACCCAAATTTTTACTTTAAGACATTAAGGGCCTGTTTACTAACAGAGATCTTTTCCAGTTTTCAATTTCTGTTTTCCGTTCTACGATTTTCTGTTTTCACTTTTTAGTTTTCCATTTTCAAATCTCAAAATAAGTTCATCAATTGTTTTCACCTGGTTCTGTGACCGACCAAATGATCGAAAATTCGAAAGTACGATCCCAGTTCAGAACCGAACCTAGTACAACCCAATGATGGTACTGGGTCCCGCGTATAGGAATGTCAGGACCGAAACTGGCATGTCTCGGTCGATCTCAACGATTAGTTTGACGAATTCTTTTCCAATTTCCCTATTGATTATCAACTCAACGGCTTTTTTTAAACTTCTCACTTTAATAAATGATTTCAAAGAACCGAGACTTAACCGCCGGGTCATTGACTAACCTGGACAGGGACTGCCAGGAGACTGGCCCGAGACCGCTTGGTTGTCGATCATACCGAACACATACCATCAAGTCATTGGCCGGAGAGGATGGGGCCCGCCGAGTCGTTGACTTGACGGTGACCGCCGAGTTGTTGAACAGATCGGGACTGCCCGATCATCGACCAGACCGAACAGGTACCGCCTGGTCATGGATTGGACAGGACAGGGACCGTCGGGTCATCTCTCGGGCCGGGCATGGTGCGCCAGGTCGTGGACCAGGCCGGGCAGGGGGGGCCCTGGGTCGTGGACCAGACCGGACAGGGACTGCCGGGTCGTGGACCGGACTAGACAGGGACCACTAGGCCATCGACCGGACCGGAAAGGGACCATCAGGTCAATGACCAGACCGGACCACCGGGTCAATGACCGGACTAGATATCGACTGTCGAGTCGTTGATCGGACCAGTCTGGAACTGATACCGCATCGGAATTGGATCCACCACTAGGCGTAAGTATGCAAATTCATTGCAACATCCACGTTTTCCAAATTTGGAAAACTAGTAAAAGTTATTTCTTCAATTCATTAACGAAATCAGAGACATATCTCATTTTTTTTGGTTTTGGAAAACGATTTGGTAAACACATTTTTCTGTTTTTCTTTCTCCATTTTTCAGCAATTTCTTTTGGTAAACATGTTTCTGTTTTCCATTTTCCAGTTTTCCAGTTTTCTGAAAAACTGGAAAATAACTCTGTTAGTAAAGAGGCCCTAATATTTTTTAGACAACGGAAAAGCCCTAGTGGACATCTCCCTTATTTGCGGGTGATAGAGTATTAACTCTTAGAGAGAAGGGCGAGCTAGAGAGGAGTAATATGTATAAATGAATTTCCAACCCTTTATAACTACCCCAAAAGGGAGTATTTATAGGAAAAATATGGGCTGAGCTATCAAGTCTTGGGCTTGGGAGACCCGTTTACAATGAGGCCACTATTGGACCGAATACAAAGTATGTAAATTGGCTAAGTACGAAATCTAGCTATTCGAGGTCTCTGTGGCCGAAGGATACATGGCCGACGGACGTTTGGTCGACGGAGGTCTGGCCGACAGGGGGGGGGGGGGGTTGCGCCCTGGTTCTCCTGGTTTCTGGACCATATTCTGAGTTGATATCTATCTGGTCGGTGGAGGGCCATATGGCTGACGGAGGACCCACTGGGCGACACCTGTGCTTCCTCTTAGTCTTCTGAGTATGTGGGTCGTGGGGTCTGGACCCATATACTCCATCAGCGGGGTTGAGATTTTCTGCCGCTCCTATCAATATGGTGTTAAAGTAGCAGTTTATACTGATTTTAAGTGTTCTAACGCTTGAGATTGCAACCACGTCGGATGAGATAGACGGATGAACGAGTTGTGGCTGAGAGATTGTATTGATGTTGGATCATGAAGCCTTAGTCGGTCGTTCGGACGCTGGTAGAGTTGGTATTCACCCATATTACAAAAGTTCGTCCTCCTCCGGAACAACCTCCATACTGGGAAGAGTTTTGTGGAAAAATTTTATTTCAATATTATTTTCTCTTTAGTAGTACTTGTTTCTGATTTAGTCCGAGTAGATTTGGTTTGAGTGTTTGGATTTTTGGAGTTCTTTTGATCAGCAGGGTTTCAGATATGTTCGTTTTAGGCTTAAATTTGTCCGTTTCAGGTTTAGTGAGTCGGGTTCCTTTGTATGAGGTGACTAACTCTGTCTATATTCTTAGAGTTTGAAGGTTGTCTTGTATGCATTTTCGTTTTTAATATAAAGTCGCTCTTTAATGATAAAAACATCATTTGTTTTTTGAAAGGAAATTGTCTATATTAAAATTCAAGAGACCAACTTCATTACAGACTTTCCAATACTAATCAATATCCTGCAACGAGATTCACCATAACCCGAGGCCCACTCACCATCTGATTAAACATAGAAACGATTACCCTAACTAGAGCAGATTGAGTAGCTAACCTTGAGAGAGATTTGAAGATTAACTCAGCTTTTGAAGCCGTCTTATTTCTCAGCATAAAAAACCTACCCACCACAGATTCGTAATACACATAAAACACAAAGGATCAAACATAAAAGACAAACTGGAAGATAAAATTAACCACTACTTGTCAAACTCCTTTATTCTTGATCCCTCGTAGTTGAGGCCTTCCACGAACGGCCAAAACTCTAATTCGTTCATTCCATGCTGTGATTCAGGAGGAGGGTTGGCCATCAGGATCGCTATGACTGATTCTTCATCACTGGCCAAACTCTCTGCGCTTCACCAAAATTGTCGCCGCCATCAATCTTCTACTTACTTGGGAGCAATGCTTTTCCGCAGGCCATAGCCAACTTTTCTTCGGTGATCTCCATATAGCCAACTCAGAGTTCGCCTCTATCTCCTAACCAAAGGACTGCCCCAAAAGACAAATTACCCTCAGCCGATGTCGCCCAAGAAGGACTACTCCCTCACGCAGACGTCCGCAACACCTTCGCGGCTTCGCGGTTTGGCGCGACGACCAAGCAAACGAAAGCCGTCCAAATTACCTCCTCTGCCAAAGACTGTTTCAAGCGCAGCGCCTAACCCTAGGCCCGCTCGCTCTTTAAAATTTTAAAGCATTAATTTGATTAAAGAATAGTTCATATTCTTACACATTTGCTTATTGTTTTATTGTTTTAAATACTTTTGTTGTCGGCAATGATTTTCACAATGCCTGCAGGGCCTGCACCAGTATATTCATATAGGAATAATTTGTACAATTCATAGTGGATGGAAATTCATGCTCTGTGTTTCAGTTTAATATGTGTGGTTGAAGTCTTTGAAATGAATGAATATGTACAAATATCTTTTAACAAATATAAATATGAAATTTTGTTGAGTTTCAGAACAAATATGGAGGGGTTAGGTCACCCGTCCGGGCAATAATATCCTTGTTGTACCGCTCACATTCGAATCCTCGTTTGGGCCTGCTGCGGCCCATCTCCTCAGTATCCTCAACAATGCCGCCGCCTTCCTCCGCCCTCTTCCCGTCCCCGTCCCCATCAGCTCCCATATTACCCGCTCGATCCCGTGGACCGCCGCCAGCTCTGCCGCAATCTCCGACCCGCCTCTCCGGCACATATTCACCAGCGTTGCGGCCGCGCTTTCCCGCGTCCTGTCCGTTCCCTCACGCAGTAGCTTCGTCAATTTCTGAATGATAGGGTACGCCGCCGCAACCGCCGCCACTCCTCCCCTTTTCACCACCACTTCGAGGATCGTAGCCGCTTCTTCCGGCAGCGCGTCCATCACCTCCCCCGCCATCTCCACCACTCCTCCTTCGATTAGCTTCCCCGCCGCCTCCTTGTCTCCCGCCAAATTCAAAATTGCCACCACCGCATCACGCTTTGAACTCGTGGGCCCTTCACGCGCCAGATTAACCAATCCCTTTACTACGCGTGTCTTGCTCCACAGGCACTTCCGGTGGGTGCTTAAACCAGTCAGGCTGAACACGGTGGCCGCCGCGTTGCCTTTTGCCTCCCACGTGGAGCCGGATCTGAGCACCTCGATCACGCCGTTTAGAACGCCGTCCATCTCCATTATCCTCGCCTTGTTTGCTTCCAGGATGGAGAGGTTGAGAATCGCCGTGACGGCGTTGACTTGCAGGCTCGGATTCTCCGGGCCTAAAAGCTTGACCAGCAGCGGCAGAGCTCCGAGCTCCGCGATGCAGGCTCGGCTATCGGATTCGGTCTTCGCCAAGGCCCGAAGCTCGTGGACCAGACGGTTAGCCGTTTCAACTGACTGAGAAGTCTTCAATTGGTTAACCAGAAACGAAACCATCATCTTCGTGGCCTCCAACGCCGCCTTGTTGGTGACGGCGCCGTGAGACTTCACGTTCGGATCCGTTAATTCAATCGCGATTCTCTGTTCCCTGCACCACGTAGCTATCGTGTTCTTCAACGCCACGTTGGGAATTAGCTCCCCGCTGGTCAGCGACGTGCCCGTCTTGGGACACGTGTTATGACCCGATTCGATCCAGAGGGAAATCGAGGGTCGGTCGTACGTCTGTCCCGTGGACACGACCACAGGGTCCCTCATCAAATCGAGAGATATCGGACATCGGAAATCTGCAGGGGCGACCACATCAGCCGTCGTCTTCCGTCGTCTCTGGGCTCTTCTCGGCGTAGAAGCGCCGTACAAGACGCACTTTGCGTAGCGAACCAAGCTTATCAAAGCGACAATGTCGGATTTCGACTTAGCATCCGTTTGGCTCTGAATTTCATCCTCCAAGCAATCGATTTCATCGCTGCAACTCGTGGAATCGCCGAGAGTCAATTTGCTGAAAATCTCGGCGAGATTTTCCTGATCTGGGACGATTTCTTGTTTAATTCTGTCCAACATACGTAGAACATCTTCTCTTAGAACTTCATCGCCAGAGTCCACATAAGCTTCCTTTTCTGAGCTCTGTTTCTGAACAAGGCAGATCAATTCCTCCACGTCTTCGCCTAGCTCCAAATCCTTCGCCGGAAAAATGTCCAATAGCGTGGACAACTCCACGGAGAGCTGGTGGAATCTGTTGGAGATCATCTCGCTCCGCATCAGAAGCCACATCTTGCTCGAATTCCGGCAATCCTCAATCAAACCCTTTATACTCTGCAGAGCTATATACAGTTCCTCGAAACATAACTCAGCCGTCGGCGGAAACGCCGTCACCGGGCTCCGGAGAAGCTCTTCGAACAGAATGCTTACCAGCTTTGACCTTCTAATCATCGAATAAGTGTTTCTCCTGAGGAGAAAGCGAATCGGCTGTATAGACGAAATCTCAAGCGAAATTGCGAGAAGCGAATGAAGAAGCCGATGGTCAGAGAGATTCCGGGAATCGATCGGCCCCGTCGGAGGTAGACGTTTACTTGGCGGGAATGATTCATGTGAGATTATTACCATTGTTGGATATATGATGATTAATTAGCAACACCAGCGAAATGGTTGAATTTTGAGGAGAAAACAGTGGAGAAGAAGGAATTTTGGTGAAAGCGTTCAAGGCTGGCTTTATTACTTGTATTGGGAAGGATAATGATAATAATAATAATATCATGCGTAGACTTTTCTGGGAAGGAAAGACAAAGTATGGTATGAGTTGTAAATGGGTCCAAAGCTTTGTTCAACTTGTTTACTCTCGCTGGAATTAATTGCTTTTAATGAATTGATAAGTACGCTGTCTAGGTTTGGTTTGGAAGCTGTTTACTACTTTTTGGTTGAAATGGATTTTGTCAAAAGCTTTCCTTACTTTAACAAATTTGATCATTGAATTTCAATACCCCTACCAAACTGGTCTGAAACATTTTTTGTTTCGTTGGGGAAAAATATATTTCTTCCCGTTCCAAAAGATCTTAACACTTTGACTTCACAATTTTTAAGGAAATAAACACTGTTTGTCACTGTTTGGCACTGTGTTGCACTGTTTTGTGTAGATTTATTTGTCCAATAAGGCAAATAAAGAAGTGTAAAGATATTTTTGGTACTGCTAAAAATGGAAAGTGTAAAAATCTTTCAGAATTGGAGGGAGTACTGCGAAAGAAAATTCATACAAGAGCTAATAATGTACGTAGTATCTCAATCTCAACACCGTTGTTGTTTGGATTTTTGTCAAGTCGGGTTCCAGGTGAAATGATTCATTTTAATGTCCTATACCCATTATTATTAGTACGAGTATTATTCTTTAAGAGCCCGTTTGGTGACCTCTTTTTCGGCTTATCAGGCTTATCGGTCAGTTTTTTTACCAAACACGTAACTTTTGATTTCGCGCGCCTAACTTTGTAATAAGCAGAAAAAGTAAGGTCGGATTTACTTTTCTGGCTGTATTGGCTGAAGTTACTGTAGAGGATTATTTTAGCTATTTTTTCGTTTAATTTTTTATTTAATTTATTAACAACAAATATTTTAAATATAATTTTTCCACGAATCACCAGAATAAGCCAATACAGCCACTTAAGACAGAACATCATAAGTTTCAGCAGAATCAGCCAATTCAACCAATTTTAGTGTTACCAAACGAACTCTAAATTTGCATAGTATTCTATCTTTGAAACTTTGACCAATTGTACATTGTATCGAAAGTTATTTATAATTATAATATAAAAGTGATGAAAATATTTTTTGTTAAAAGTATAAAATTTTCAACTTGCATAATATTATACTAATCAAAATCAATGGTCCAAACTTTATGAGATGACAAAATTTCAAAAGATGGAAGGAGCGTTATCTGTAGTTGAGAGTAGAAGAATATAGAAACGTTTTAAGATATATGGATGCTCACACAACCGTTAATATCCATTCCACTATTTTTGTCATATCTTTCATTTTTCGTCTGTCTCACTAAAATAATTTCAAGTTGAACTACTCTAAATCTAAATTGGTCTTATCTTAACTAAAATATTCTTTTAGTTGAACTAAAGTCTTCACACATAAATTGGTTTTATATTTATGTCTGATCTAGTCTAATATATTTAAATATGGTCATTTCTGGATAGATTTGTTCAAATTTTGTATCACGTGTATGCTATATTATACTACCTCCGTTCTTAAATAAATGCAACACTTTGACTTTTACACTATTCACATGTTCTACTTTGACTACGTTTTATTTATTAATGTGATAATATTATTTTATGGAAAAAAAATTGTTAAACTTGTCTCATTGTAAATTTTCATAATCTATTTTTTTTAATTTTTTTACTAATACAAAATCATTTATATTAATGGTCAAAGTTGTGTCTCGGCAAGTGTGAAATGTTGACCGTTGCATTTATTTAAGAACGGAGGAAGTATAAGATTGATGATCAAATTTGTACATGGTGTCACCAGTCTTACTTATGTTTATTTAAGTTCGATCTTGTCTAGTGAAACCTTATCAAACCCTATGATCCGGTGATCTGGTTTGATATCAGAATAAATTCATTCAAAGTAAAAATATCCTACCAGCCTAATCTAATCTTGATCTCATACCACATAATCAATTGTATTTATTTGCTCCAAATTCTTTTACACTTCATTCATTCCAATAACAACATATTAATTAATAACTTAACGGGATGTCACTAGGATTATAGGGAAAGTCAGAGTATAAAATTTGGAGAGAAACATTGTCTTTCGTGTACACACTGGCTGGTATTTTATTTGTGCATGGACATTTTTTCCTTTTTGTAAAAAGAATCGTGTGCGACGGATGATATTTTCGCCTTGGTAGCCGAATTCTATGGGACAGGAGTTTGGGTCTAGCTCCAGTTTTGCTCATGGATCATGCAGGGTCATATGTAGTCCATTTGAGGATTTGAACTGTCTTGTGCATCCATATATACTTCATCACGTATAGCTTCACATTTCTCAGAGCCGCAACACTTCTTGATTACTCATGAGACTTAATAAATACTTGCAATCAGTTTGACTTTAAAAAAATATACTCCCTCTGTCCCGAATTGAATTGTAAACTTTGACCGGCACAAGTATTAAGAAATGATAATAAATGATGCTTGTTTTTTACACTTTTATCCATCTTTCTAAAAGTAGATGTCTTTAAGTTAATGGGGAAAAACTAAAATAAGAGTAAATTTGTCACTTTATTCTTATTTATATACCTAAAATAGAAAGTGGATAACCATTTTGGGACAACCAAAAAGGGAAATTTTGTAAATCAAATTGGAACGGAGGGAGTATATAAAAACTCAACATCAATTTCAAAATTGTAGTAGTAGTATGTATCAGTTTAGTATTATTTCAAAGTACTCTTATTTATTGATTCTTTTATCCTAAAAACGTTTATCAAATCAATTCAAAGAAGGAAATATTAGAGTTCGTAGAAATATGAATTAAATGACATATTTTTAATTTATAAAAATATTGATACATATTTGGCGAATAAGACTGGAATGTTGTTGTGTCCATACAATTATTGATATTGCTACCAAAAAGTTGAAATATCAAAATAATCATACCAATACCAACAATAATACGTAGTAGTAAATATTATGTAGCTTGCAAAATCCAATGATACAAAATTTGCTGAATAAATTAAATACACCAAACACATACGAGTATATGAGCATGTCATTCATGTCTTAAAATAAATTGTGTTGAGTTTAATCCAACACTAAATATATATATATATATATATATATATATATATATATATATATATATATATATATATATATATATATATATATATATATATATATATATATATATATATATATATATATAGCGGTTCCGGTAAGAACGGATCTTAGGAAAAAAATGAGAACGAATCTGGACCATTGGAATGAATTATGTGGAACTAAATTGTGCATTTGGTGAAACTGCAATGTGCAATAGACGATATTTAAATGTGCAGAATAAAAATTTAAACTCACATGTGCATTAGGTGAAACTGAAATGTGCATAATAAGACATACAAAAATAACATCACATTGTACCTTTTGTTCTGCACATTTTAGTTTCATCTAACGCACATTTCAAATTCACCTAATTCATAATTTAGCTTCACATAATGTCACAACATCATACCCTTTGTGTTGCACATTTCAATTTCACTTATTACACATAACAACTTCATCTAATGCACATTGAATTTCACATAAAGCAAATCTAACGGTCCAGATTCATTCTCATTTTCTCATAAGATCATGTTCTTATTTGAACCAAAACCTATATATATATATATATATATATATATATATATATATATATATATATATATATATATATATATATATATATATATATATATGGGAGGGTTCAAATACAAAGAGGTCTTCCCATGCAAAGTGAGAATTAATCTCGTGCGTTCATTTTGAGATCTAATGGCTCAAAATGAACCAAAAGTGAACTAAATTTGATAAAAAACGTGGTGGCAATTTCGTAATTAAAACGAAGTTTTTTGTCATCGCGAAAAAGTGCAACAGAAACACGCAAAAGTGCAACGCGGTGAAGAAAAAGTGCAATTGTTCGCACTTTGCACGGGAGAACCTCTTTTTATTTGATCTCTTCCCTATATATATATATATATATATATATATATATATATATATATATATATATATATATATATATATATATATATATATATATATATATATATATATATTATATATACTCTCTGTGTTTACGTGAAAACCCGAAAAGGTAGAAAACCACTGGAGTCCAAGCCCTCTCATTCTCATAAAGCTCTCCTCATCATTACATGTACAAATATTGAAGCTCCCATTAATGAAGGTTACTACTAGCTAGAGAGAGGGGGAGGAAGTAGAAAAGGGATCCTTCATTAGGAGGGAAATCCTCTTATTTATAGAGGAAAGGGGGAGTGGTACTCCACCCTAATGGGCCAAACGGACCAAGATGGACTTGTTGGGCCAAGGTGGCCCTGATGGCCGAAAACAGGCCTCACTGATCGGGCTCTGTACTGAGTGATGTCTTGGGTCCCTGAACAGTGGTAGATCGGGATAATATATCTCAGCAAATGCTTTTGTATAATACATCATTGTCATGTCACATTTATTCAATAAATTTTAAATAATCTCAAATCATAAACTCTTCATCAACCATAATGCTCAATTAATTAGTTTTTCTTGACCATGCATTAAATGCAATTTAACTACAACATATAATAATTCAGGATCCGAATCTTGATACAACATTTTCTTTTTCAATAATCTCCGTAAATAATTGTTCACTCACAATGATAATCTTTCAAATAATTTTTCGAATCACCCAATTAAACTTTAAATAATTTAATGGATTGAGATACCTAAGAAGTAAGAAGGAGATAGACGAGCTTGATCGCTCGAACTCGTAGCGGCTATTTGGTATTTTCAACCTCCGCCGGAATTGAAGCTGACAACATTGAATAAGCTAAGAGCAAGGCTAACAATAGTTTTTACATTGTTAATGCATATTTAGGGACCTAGGGGTCCGACCCATATTTACAACTTATTAGATTTGTCAATCGACTTTTAATATTACCAAAAAGACTGTTATATTTGAAAAATTAGTAAGTTTTT